GTAATGTTAGGAGCCTTAGGCGATTAGATGAATCGAACTTTGGCATTATAGGAGTCTCTGAAAACAAAATAACCAGTGGAAAAAGTTTGGATTTTCATCCAAACATGCCTGGATATATTTTTGAATACGCTCCGACACCTCTCGCCTCTGGAGGTGTTGGCTTGTATATTGAATGAATCTCTGAAGTTCACTTTACAGTTATTGAAAAAAAAAAAAATTAAATGAGGCTTTCCAGGCGCTATCACGGATTGAAATCCAATCCTCACAAAAAATAACATCATTTGCCGTATTGCATATATTGCATATATCTTCGAAACGGTTCCAATAATATTTTGACGAAACTCTTGAAAACCTAATACCGTAAAATTCCGAAAATAAGCCGTGGGGCTTATATTTTTCAAAGGCCCATTTATGAGGGGCTTGTTTTTGGAGGGGCTTCTATTCGAAGGGGCTTATCTACGGAGGGAAATTTGCGTTTCAAAATCGATTTGGCTAGCCTTATAGTTGGAAGGAAATTTGCTTTGTTTTACTTTGTATTTGAGGGCAATTTCCAAGTACAAGCCCCCGGGGGGGCTTATATTTGGAGGGGCGATTTAACGGAGGGTTTTTTACTTTGCGAGTTTGCGGGCTTATATTTAGAGGGGCTTATTTTCGGAATTTTACGGTAGCTTCAAACTAATCAGTTTGTATCATGGGCGACTTCACCATAAATCTCCTTCACGCCGAAAGCTCCCTCTATGCTCAGGAATTTTTACGTTCTCTGAAAGGTCTCATTTATACCAACTATTGATAAACCAATACGTGTGAATAACAGCTCTACAACCTTAAAAAAGAATATTTTGACTAACAAAGTTGAAGCTAATATCACCAGTGGCAATATTGTCCCTGGTACCAGCGACCATGATCAGTTGGATGTCGACAATGCTAGTTTTTCCTCATTTCAGTCTATAACACACTGTCGGGACTTGCCGAGAAACAAGCTCCTTTGAAAACCTTCTCGAAACGCAAGCTAAAGCAGTTTTCTAAGCCATTAATAACCAGTGGCCTCAAAAAATCTGCCAAAGTGAAAAATTCTCTTTTTTAATCAGGCGGTTACGCACAATATAAACTCTATAGAAGTAAAATTTCTACTCTTACTAGGTTGAGTAAAAAGAATTATTATCAAGCATTCTTTACTGACAATTTGAATAACATGAAGAATACCTAGAATGGCATAAATAGTCTTATCAGCGGCAAAAAGAAAAAATCACTTGCTATTTCTTCACTAAAGCGCCTTAAATAGTGACAACAGTATAACAAATGATCCTTTTGAGATTTCTAACATTTTCAACAACTACTTTTCTTCCGTTGGTGAAAAATTAGCTTCACGGCTACCACCTTCTTCTTGTAGTTTTTCCGAGTATTTGTCATCCATTAATAATCCAAATTCCTTCTTTTTCGATCCAGTCTCTCGAGAGGATATTGATCGTGAAATACAGTCTATTCTTAGATATAAAACTTACGGTATTTACTCTTGTCCGATCCCTATTTCATTTGGTGCTAAACACATTATTTCTGGCCCTCTATCCAACATTATTAACATCTTTGTGCAAGAAGGTGTCTTTCTATCCAAAATANTACCAGCGACCATGATCAGTTGGATGTCGACAATGCTAGTTCTTCCTCATTTCAGTCTATAACACACTGTCGGGACTTGCCGAGAAACAAGTTCCTTTGAAAACCTTCTCGAAACGCAAGCTAAAGCAGTTTTCTAAGCCATTAATAACCAGTGGCCTCAAAAAATCTGCCAAAGTGAAAAATTCTCTTTTTCAATCAGGCGATTACGCACAATATAAACTCTATAGAAGTAAAATTTCTACTCTTACTAGGTTGAGTAAAAAGAATTATTATCAAGCATTCTTTACTGACAATTTGAATAACATGAAGAATACCTGGAATGGCATAAATAGTCTTATCAGCGGCAAAAAGAAAAAATCACTTGCTATTTCTTCACTAAAGCGCCTTAAATAGTGACAACAGTATAACAAATGATCCTCTTGAGATTTCTAACATTTTCAACAACTACTTTTCTTCCGTTGGTGAAAAATTAGCTTCACGGCTACCACCTTCTTCTTGTAGTTTTTCCGAGTATTTGTCATCTATTAATAATCCAAATTCCTTCTTTTTCGATCCAGTCTCTCGAGAGGATATTGATCGTGAAATACAGTCTATTGTTAGATATAAAACTTACGGTATTTACTCTTGTCCGATCCCTATTTCATTTGGTGCTAAACACATTATTTCTGGCCCTCTATCCAACATTATTAACATCTTTGTGCAAGAAGGTGTCTTTCTATCCAAAATAAAACAAACGAAAGTTATTCCTGTTTACAAAAGTGACGATGAAACTGAACCCGAAAATTATCGGCCTATTTCATTATTGTCTATTTTTAATAGGATATTTGAAAAATTGATGTACCAACGGCTCAAAATCTTTCTTGACAAAATCGATATCCTACTTAAATCACAGTATGGCGTCCTTGAAAAGCATTCCACACAACACGCTGTTATTGACATTGTTAATATCATACAAAACAATATGGACCTAAAATTATTTACTTGTGGGATCTTTTTGGATTTAGAAAAGGCCTTTGATACTGTCAATCATTCAATCGTACCAAAAAAACTTCATCACTATCATATGGTGTCAGGGGCATCAATAACGACTGGTTTTCTTCGTACTTTCTTGGCCGTTGACAAGCAACTGAAATAGATTCTAATAGGCTATTTCCGAGTTCCCCCGGGCCTCTGTTTCAAAACCAGGGTAGGTGCTCAGCCTTTGATATGGAAATCATTTTTCATTCTCATACAAATAAAACTCATTGTCACAAGAATAGTTGTGCACCTAGCCTCATTTTGAAAGTGAGGGTTTTTGGAACTCGGAAGTAGCCTATTTATCCAACATTAGTAACATCTTATGTGGTGTCCCACTAGGCTCTGTTCTTGGTCCTTTGTTATTCCTAATCTATATTATTGATTTTCACAACTCTTCAGCAATTTTCTCATTTTATCTTTTTCCAGATGACACAATTTTGTCGTATTCCGTCAAAAATCTAAAATCTCTTAAAGAAACTGTCAACAGCGAACTGGTCAAAGTCTCAGACTGGCTCAATGCAAACAAGCTAACATTAAATGCTAAAAAGTCAAACTTTGTTATCTTTTCGTCCTTACCAACGAAAGAAAGAAAGATGGATCATTCGGTCAATACCGTGTGGCACGAAATTTTTGCGGGAGGTTATTTTTGCGGATTGACGATTTTTTGTGTTTTGCGGGCACTAATTTTTCCGATTTTCCGAAAATACCCAGTGCCCAGCATTGATTATATTTTCCTTTTTATTGAGTACGTGCAATGGGGTTACATATTTTCAAACCAAAAAAACAGTATTTCGTTGTATACCGTTTTGTTTCTGAATGAGAGAGACAATTTGTGATGGAACAGACACGATTTCTTAGGACTGTATTTGTGTGGCGAATTTAAGTTAGCAGTATCAGGAGCCTATAGGTCATAGGCTCCTGAGAATATTCACTCTGAAGTAAATATTTGCGGGAAAATTTTTTTGCGGTAGTTTTTATTTGCGGGAACTTATTTTTGCGGATGGCTGGAAAAATCGCAAAAACCGCAAAAATTAGAACCCGCAAAAATTTCGTGCCACAGGGTATTCAAACGTTTCATAATAGTAATCACTTTCTTACTTCCAATGCAGTGAGTGTAAGGATCATGTAAAATATCTAGGTGTCTTACTGGTCAGTCATTTGACGGCTGGAATTAACAACGTCAAAGCGAATGTTTGAAAGCTAGACCTGAACTTCGAGGCAATTAAAGAATTCATGGAAAATCCCTCTTTATAAAAGCAAATAGCATAGGGAAAAACACTCATTTTCTTAAATTAACCCACTGAGAAAGAGATCTGGAGGTCCAATGATTTCTTAAACCGCGACTAAGTTAGACTTCGTTTAAATAACTGACCCTAAATCTCTAGTCAACAGATTTGGCTAAAGACAGGAGCTCTTATTAAATCGTAACAAATAGAAGCGTAGTTAAAGCAACGTGTCCCCCGGGCAAGCCACAAACGTTTGTTGTCAGTATCAGTAGCGTGATCTTTCATGGAATCAGATTATTGAGGGCTAATAGAGTCCTAGGGCTGGTTAAACGGTGATTCAGGTATCTTAAGGATATTGTTACTAAGAGAACACTATACTGCAGTCTTGTAAGACCACATGGAGTATTTTTCTGAAATTTGGCGTCCTCACAAATAGCGTAATGTTGTTGAATTGGAGGCTGTCCTGAGGAGGGCAACCAGGTATTTAGTTAAACTAATAGGCAGTATGACATTAATTGTTCTTATTTGCATTGGTAAAGTTTGGTAAATCAATGCTCCAAGATACAATACATGATGTCCTTCGTTGGTCTAACGACAAAAGGTTCAAACTGAACTCACTTAAGTGCAAGGAACTCATAATAGCCCTTCGAAGGAAAAGTAACTTGGACACTGTTGCTCTTAAGGCTAATGGTAATGCTTTTGAAATTGTGAAATCAGCTAAAATATTAGGCGTCACTGCATGTAAGGTTAAAACTATGTCAACTTTCAAGAAGAGGGTTTCCTCTTTTCTGAGAGAGAACAATTAGATATAGCATGTTTTCTTTGATATGTAAAGACCGCTTTCTATGCAACAGTTGACATACATGTAGGGTTGTTGGGTTGTTCAGGTTGATCATTATTAAAGTTTAAAATTCTTACTGTGCAAGAGACTTATTTGTTTAATAATATATTTTATTGGTATAAAATTTAATGACCCTCCCCACCCCCCCACCCGCCACTCTAATAATTGACAGGTTCCTAATTATTTGTGGAGTGAATGTTAATAAAGTTAATAAGATTCTAAACTTATACATTTTTACGTTTACTTGTCTTTCAGAAGACATGTTTATCGCGGGAAAATTGCAGAAGTTTATGCACGTTATGCAAGCCTACGTAGACATCCTTATTGGCATTGCTGTTGCGAACTTTCTTATCACTACCAATCGGGCTGTAAAAGGCATCCAGTTAGCCGAAGAGTGCCTCATTTTCCTGAACAACACGGTGCTGAGGGAAAATACTACAATCTTCAATAGAGGCTATTGTCACATATGTTATTTATTCTCCTTCGCTTATGGATATTATATTTTTGATTACACAAGAGCAATTGAATGGGGCGAAAAAACTCTTGAGGCCATAGTCCAATTATTTGGAGAATTTAGTGATCAGGTGGGCACAGCAACCATGATGCTGGCATTATGGTATCTTCAGCAACTTAAGTATGAGAAAGCAAAGGAACTGTTCGAGAAAGCACTGCGCATCAAGCAAGAGACTGGCGACAGAGACAGTGAAGCAACGTGTTATCGTTGCCTCGGGGTACTCTGTTATCATGTCGGTCAATACCATAACTCGAACAAATATATCGAAAAGGCACTTGAGATAAGAAAAGAAATTGGTGACAAAATGGGAATAGCTGATTGCTATAGCAACCTAGCGATTGCATTTGAATCACTTGGACAGTATGACAAGGCCATGGAATATATTGACAAATCACTTTTGATAAGAAAAGAAATAGGAGACAGAAAAGGAGTGGCAAAAGATTACATATGCAAAGGAAAAGTGTGTCACTCAGTGGGTGAGTATGCTGACAGTAGAGATTTCGCGCAGAAAGCACTTGCAATTCAAAAGGAAATCGGCGACAAAGAAGGCCAGGCTGAGTCTCATTTCTCTTTTGCCACGTTCTTCAGCCGCCAGGGTCAATGTGCCAAGGCTGTACAATGCTTAAGGGAGTCGCTTTTGATATCGAAAGAAACGGGACGCAAGGTAGCGGAAGCCCTTTGTTATACAAACCTAGGATGTGCTTACTCTTATTTTGGAGAATTTGCCGAGGCTAAGGAGAATATTGAAAAAGCACTTAAAATAAGTAAAGAAACTGGGAATGTCCAAATACAGTGGCTGTGCCATCTCCTCCTCGGATTGATTATGATGTTTCAAGGAAACACAGAGGAGAGTATTTCGAACCTCTTTTCTAGTATCCAACACTGCGAGGACTTGCGCAGTTCTTTAGGGGACAATGACCCGTTCAAGGTGTCTCTTTTAGACAAACACTTCGCTCCCTACCAAACTCTCAGTCAGTTGTTTTGTGACAAAGGAGATCATGTTAAAGCATTGTACGTTTTAGAGCTTGGACGAGCCAGGGCTTTGACAGAGTTAATGTCCACTCAGTATTTTGCTGGAAAGCAATTTACAATTGATCCACAATCATGGATGGGCATTGAGGGAATCATCAAGAAAGGAAGTAACTTTACTTGTCTATACATATCATATGTCGTGCTGGATATTTATTTGTGGATTTTGGATCAGAAACAGTCAGTAAATTTCCGACATATAAAGAAAGATGAAGCTGTTTCGACTATCGGACCGGTGGAAGATTTGAACGCCTTTCTAAGAAACCCACCCGTTAGAGGGTGTCAGAAGCTTCTTCAAGGGCATTGCGAGGATCGATCAATGTTCCCCTTGGTCGCTTGCTCCTCGTCTCAGGAAGATAGAGTTGCAGCTCTCCGCCCTTTTGAATTGGATGAAGACGATCAAGAACAAGAACCGTCACCAACTCTTGAGCTACTTTACAAGATTTTCATCACTCCAGTGGCTGACCTGCTTGACGAGCCCGAAATTCTCATTGTTCCTGATCGTTCCTTGTACAAAATTCCATTTGCAGCGTTAAAGGATGAAAATGGGAAGTATCTTTCAGAGACTTTCAGGATCCGCATTGTTCCATCTTTGACGACTCTCAAGCTCATTCAGGAGAGACCAGCAACCCAGTGTAATGATAGGAGTGTGCTGATAGTGGGTGATCCTGATGTTAGCTATGTGAGTGAGTTCTCTCAACTGTCTTTTGCAAGAAAGGAAGCGAAAATGATCGCCGAATGGTTGGGTGTTCAACCTTTGTTAGGGTGTCAAGCAACAAAGCAGGCGGTACTTGAATCGATGCATTCAGCAAGTTTGATACATTTTGCTGCACATGGTGATGCCGAAAGAGGAGAAATTGTTCTTGCTCCAGTGCAACCTGTCAACAGGCCTTTGCATAAAGACGATTACGTGTTAACAACAGCTGATGTTTCCGAAGTTAAACTTACGGCGAAACTAGTTGTCTTAAGCTGTTGTCACAGCGCACTTGGACACATTAGAGCTGAGGGAGTGGTTGGAATTGCCCGAGCGTTTTTAGGATCCGGTGCACGCTCAGTGTTGGTGGCGTTGTGGGCCATAGAAGACGAAGCAACAGAGCAGTTTATGGGGCGTTTCTACGAGCACCTTGTGCGCGGTGAAAGTGCAACTGAATCTCTTCACCAGGCCATGAAGTGGATGCGAGAGAACGGCTTCCCTGAAGTGAGGAAGTGGGCGCCTTTTATGCTAATTGGAGACAACGTGACGTTTGATTTCAGAAAGTAAAGGTTAGTCTTTTGACGCAGAAATATGAAAAACATATTCGTGTACATAGTTTGAGATTCTTTGTTTCACCACCTTCAACAACAGCCTGGTTTCCAGGGTTTTCCTTCAGAAAATTGGGAGAGGTGGCCCCTCTCAATTTCCAGAGAGAAAAATTGCGAACGAGCTTGCTTTAACAAGAAATCTCTACTTGTTTGAATGCAGTATTCTTTCATGACAAGTCACACGAACAATGGTTACTCTTCAGTATTTCCAATAGTTTCTAAAATCCTGTCAATGCGACCACTCAGTGGCCAAAAACATGACGAGATTTTGAAATATGAAAATTTCTGAGATTTGTTGTTTACGTTTTCATTAAGGAAATGTGATGGCCAAACGGGGTGGTCTTGAGGCGTGGTTTCACACTCAGGTTACAGGCTTAGATTATATGTAAGGCGTCTCTCTTTCATAATGCAATCTTTACAGGTAGCAATTTTGACTCCTGAAGGAGGATCAAGAGGTTATCCCTATATTAAAATCTTCCCTTTTAGATAACCCACCCAGCCCTGGAAAGGTTGGCCACACTCCCGGGGTCTACGTCCCTGCTCTTTTCGAACAGTGGTGTGGATTCTTTTACGTCCCACAGGAGCCAGATAAGTGAAAGTGCTGTGAAACGTGACCTACGGTTTTTCGTCCTTATCCAAGAAGATTAGAAATATGCAGAAAGTCTAACCGTTTGTAGATGTCATTACATGGCAGCACTTTCGTCTCTGAGTTTTTCAAAGACCCTGAGTGTTGTGTTGGTCCGGCCTGGGTTGATCTCGTTACTTCCCGCTCAGCAGACCGGAGTTCTCCCAACTTAGCTAACCAGGCGGCAATTTTGTAAAGTCATGAGCGTAAAAGACACACGCAAGAAATGAAAATGACCTGATTACAGTGGAACCCCGCTCTACGGACACTCGCTTAATACGGACACCTGTATATAACGGACAGTTTCGTTTGTTTCGACAAAAAAGGTCATAAATTTTCTCTAAAATTAACCCGCTTAATACGGACACTATAGCATATCCCGTCGGTGTCCGTATTAACGGGGTTCCACTCGTATTAAAGGCAGAGCGTTTAGTCTCTTACAAAATGTATCCCGCCTGTACTATACGTATGCAAACATCGGCAATTCGCGATAAGAGAGCTGCTGTGATTTGGTCCTCATTTGCTCATGTATGAAGCAGAAAAGTACGTTTTCTGAGAACCTTCATTGCTCCATTTCTTGTTCTCAGTCTAAGTAATAGCAACGGATTAAAACTAAACTATAAATTTGACAAACCCTGAGGTAACAGTGTATAGTAGTACACCTTCAATGTAATGATTTACTTAGAAATCTCCGAGACCTGGAAATATGCTTTGGATGCTTTGACTAGTACGATGTTTACCATATAAGTGTAAGGGTGAGTTCTGAAAGTAATGATTAAGTTTGTGTCGCTAATAAATGCATTGTTAAGTAGGTTTCAATGACGTGTTTGACAGGAGGATTACTTGCTTTATTTGGAGTTTCATGGGTCAAATGAATGGTGTACCTTATTGTTACTGAAAAATGTATATGCTTCATAAATCAGATAAATATAAACGATTTAACAGGCTATTTTTTTGTTTTTTTGTTCCTTGTAGGAGTAACTCGATTGAAGGTAGACGAAGGAAAAATGGACTCGGCTCCAGGAAAATTGTAAATACAGTACTCCCCTGGAAGCTCAAATTTCTGTGTTTTGTGGAATTGTTGAAGTTTGTTTGACATTGTCCAAGGGTATTTACCTGTTAATATTTAAGTAGTTAAATAGTCTTCAAGCAAAAGAAAAGAGTGATAGAAATAGTCAAATGTAAGTAAAATGTACGAAAACGCACGACGTGGGTGTTAATAACCGACTTGATGACAGCTCACGCTTGCTATGTAGCGGAATATTTTAGGTTTTTTTTTTAGCTTTTCCAGTTTAATTGGTTATGTCCTAAAGAAGAAATAATCATGGTTTTGAATTGTAACACGTTAATTCATTATTCAGTTTCTCAGTTTAAAATAGACTTGTCATCTTGAATCCTTTGAGAACTGTGTTTTCGTCAGATCGATTTCAAACTTTTTTTCCAGTCGTAAATTTCCCATTTATGACTTTTCATGCCCCGCCCATTTTCCAAGGGAAAAGGGCTGGGGACGAGGTTAAGCTTTTTCATCTGTGTACATGTTAGAATCCTTTCACAGGTTAAACTAGCATCCGAACTATAACGGTTAAGTCAAGTTTTGCTGGGATTCTAACCTGGTAACGTAGGACGAACACTGGTTTAAGTCGAGAAAGCATTTTATCTACAGCATTTAAATGCTCGTGTAAAACTCGTTATTGTAGTGTTTCTCTTGTATAAAATGCAGAATAGTTAACCATATAATTGGTGTAAGTCCCTTTGGAGTTAAGAGTAAAATTATAGACTGTTTAACTTGATACATTTTTTCTGTTTTAATAACCTTAGAGTTTTGCTGACCAGCTTTATTGCAATTTCTCTAACAATTCTTGTTGAGGTTAGCCAAACCGTGTGCAATATGTAATGAAGCAGTTTTCCTCAGCTGTGGCTCTCTTTTTTTGGAGAAGGAAGTAATATGGTCACATCAGGGTCATGGGCTCCTGGCGGCCATATTGCTTTTATCGAGAGAGTGCCTGGCTTTAAATTGGTGTGATGATACCTTACGATGCAACAGTAAAATGTATCGCCTTACCGTTTACATTCTTTAGAAAACAGAAAAAAGCTGGCCATTTGAATTCTTGGGGGTCAGAAGTACACTGAAAAACTTGATACATGTGGAGCGTTGTTGTTTTGCTTACCAAAACTGTTCATGAGTTTTGTCCTTCCCTTTCCCGCCGTAGTTTCGTAAGGGCCCTCAGTATTAGCTTACGAATACAGCCACCCATTTCATACAAGCCTACCCCTTTCACTGTTAAAGTGCTCGAGAACTATAGATGGGCGTTAACCAGAGAACAGAGAGGGCGTGGATCATTGAATTTTCTACCTCTCTTTTTGGAATTTAATTCGATTCGGCTGATGTGAAGTACGGCGCCTTGACCGGGCGTTTAAGGAGTGTGCTAAACTTTTTGGAGGGATACCATTAGGTCGAATCATTGCGAACTTCCAACGCTTTCGGAAAGCCCTGTTGGCAATGAATGGATGAATCAATCAATCAATCAATCAATGAATAGACGATAAAAAGCGATACTTCGATTATCACCTGGCTAATGTAGGTCGCGTAGAAAACTCTCATCTGGGACTTTTATGGTACTGACCATGAAGGTAGAAAAAGGCTACTAGAATGTTGTTTTTCCTGATAGTTTGACATTTCAGCCGCCTGTTATCTACAATCGCGTTTAAGATAAGATTGGCACTATTCTGGACTATTACATTTAAAATATTTCAGTTCACACTTGTTATTGGGCTGCCCGTGAGGGCATAGCCTGCGGACACAGACGCATTTCCGGTTGTCGCTTCCCTCCACCGTTACTTTTCGGGTGGAGAGATCAGCGACGACCGGATATATGTCTGTGTCCGTAGGCTAGTGAGGGCAATACCCATTCATCTATGTCGAAAAAGACAAATGGTAGACGGAACTCACAGAAGGCCTTGCGTGTCCCATTCCCCCTTCAATGGCGCTGATTTTTTGCGGGGAGGGAACGGGTCACAGTCCGGGATCGTTCTCAAATTTGATAACCTCGACCAAAACAAACCACGAGCCAATCGCTGTTCAAATTTTCGTTCACGTGACCTAATTTGGGGGAAAGCGTTCTTGAATATTCAATATGGCGGACGAAGTCGAGATGTTGTCAGTATTTAAAGTAGAAAGGAGTACTGCCGAGACAGCAACTCATGTACATGGCGATTTTTTATAACAGACATATCGCAGTAGACTGTAGAACTGCTGAAAATGTATTTGAGACGCATTTTTCCAAATAAGACCTCTGCGGAAAGCTTCGTGTATTTCAAACAAATCATCAAACTCATACGTAATTTGTTTCTACTGAAATGTTCAAATTAAAGAGACACACTGATGGATCGAGATGGAAGACAATGGTTATTCTGTTAAGGATAAAGGTTTTATTTTTAACATCGTCTACAGAAGTTTGCTTTTTCGAAGTTCATTCTGCTTTTTTCCTCTTGTCACGAAGATCTGTCAATGAAACAAAAACGGAACATGCAGGCAATGAGTATGCCTTTCATTGATTAGCATATACAAATAGCTGTTTAAATTTTTAGCAATAAAAAGGGGTGGTAGGCTTACACGACTTTTACCTCATGCCAAAGTGCTACTTATTCCAATAAAGTTGTTTTTATCTGCTGGGTAGATTATACTCTGGAAGGTTCTACATTTACACTGAGCAAAGGTGATTTTAGCCGCATGTTTCACACTGAGAGGTCATGACATACATATCGATTTACTGTAGTTATTGTTACTGGTCGGCAGGATTTGCCCTCTGATGCAAGCGCATTTTCTTTGACCTCTTTTGAAGCGTAAAGCTTTTTTATTACGGCTGAATAAGGGTTCCAATTTTCTCCGAAGTGCCCTCTGGATCTGAATAACTAAGCGATTTTCTTTAGTCCGTGAGTTTAATGTTTTTCTGCAATGCTGTATCACGCTGGGCCCAGCTCGTCAGTTTTCTTTGCAGAATTTTAAATTATCAAGGATAGTGATTTACAGATCCAAAATTATAAGAATGAAGTGCAGCTTAAACTGAAGCTACATAAACTTACTAGGGAGAATTGAACTGTGACTCAGTAAACTCCAGCTTAGTGTTTTTCTAAAGATAGTGTGAGTCTTTTGACTGGAGCGAGTAGTTCCTCCCGACCTTGGTAATAGCTTTAAATAAGCTTAACAGTCTAAAAACTGGAGGTATTTGAAGACGTGATCTTGCCACAAAGGCGACATAACTTTAACATTTTGCTTCTATGGGCATCATCTGCCATCTCAGCACCGTGAGGAAGACATCAATCAAATATGGCCGACATTATTGAAAGCGCATTGCGAATAAAAATACCTGATGCACTTTTTTCAGAGGTTGTGCACAACAATAGAAACATGCTGAATCGAAAGCATAAACCTTGGATATAACGGCAGATTTTTTGCAACTCTCACAAAAATTTACAAGTATATTAAATTTAACAACGAAGTGGAAAAACATACCTGATCTCGGAACCAAAATTTGATGGGACGCTTCACTTTGAGAGGGAAATTTACTTTTCAATACGAGTGATACACATCTGCCATTTTGAAACATGTGAAGCTCCTTGGCCTTGCCGAACAGAACCATGGGTACCTGACGAGTTTACACCGAATAAGATCGGACAAAATCTCGGATAAAGAAAGGCGAGGACGAAAATTCCCGACTTTTGAAATGGCCACCATGTTGTGACGTCACATGGTTATCAAATTTGATAACGATCCTGGACTCGTTTAGCGTTGAAAATAATGCTAATCGTTTCTTGTCTCAAAAAGTTAACTTGCTTGTTCATAACGGAAGAAGTTACTATACAGCCCCGGCTTAAAAACGCGCTGTCAGCAGACCAATGAACCCCAGTTGTGGGAGTCTTGTTACTGTTTTGCTGCTTTCATGAAATATATTTAAATGACCTCCAAGGTATAGGTAACACTTAACAAAAGAAGCACGCGGGCTGACTTTACAGTCGGGAATATATATATTTTTTACTAATATTTCGGGAGGCACGGCCTTACTTCTTCAGGGTCTTACATACAAGGATGAGGTTACCGTAAATCCTCTTTTGAGCCCCCCTCTCAAATAAGCGCCCCCTTTTCAGAGGAGGAAAGTTAATAAGCCCCCCCACTCCCCTCCATCCTTATTCTTAACAAACAATGTCTTCAGGCTCCGCCACTCCTTACCCTCCCCAGACTACATCTCCGCTCGCTTCGCTCACCGATTTTTTTTTCGCCCATCCCAATTTTTTTCTCCTTTTCCCCCAAGGCGGAGCCCGGTACCAGGCTAAAGTGCGTCTCTCCGTGCGATATTGTTAACTCGTTGTATTTCCCGTTGAAGGGAATAGAGGTAAATAGGTACTATAAATAGGTATGTTCACTAGCCTGTGGGGAGCAGACGATTTTTTCTGCTCTTGTTTCGCCCGCCGAGAAAATAGCTATTTTTTCGGCAGGCGAAACAAGAGCGGAAAAAAGCGTCTGCTCCCCGCAGGCAAAGGTAACCCCCTTAACTGAAAATGATCCCTGAAAACAGGAGCCGCCAAAACCCAATCAAAATTTTGAAAATGGGATCAATTTGGGTTGTTGGAAAACTGCCCACCTACCCCTCTCCTTAGCCATCATTTTGTCCTAAGTGAGAAGTGAGTGTTGATGTTATCTTAGGGGAGGGTAGGTAGGCAGTTTCCCAGAAATCTAAATAACTCTGGAAAATGCCCCATCGTTCAGCAAAATATATAAAATGTCAGCAAGTACACAGCAACAAAGCAATGAGTGGTGCCGAATCTCCCAGTTGTAGACTCGCTGGATCAGTGCAATTAAACTTGTATGAAACGGCAAACTGATCCTTGCGGCAACACGATGAAGAAGTAAACAAAAGAATAAAACAAAAAATATAAATGTTTAAATATATTTTTTGTTTTATTCTTTTGTTTATTTACAACAATTAAGAGAAGGCTGCCTGCCTTATGGTCCTCCATCCCCCATCTGCCCGTTTGTCACTTGCCCTGTAATTAACTGTATAGATCAAATTATTTTCTGAAGGGCATCGTTTGAAAGAA